GTCACTGGGTTACGCCAAGAAAGCGTGGCCGACAACACGGGCGGGGCCAGAGACAACGGCGGGGACGAGTATTGGCCATTGGTTCCACCCGTCAGTCAACCACCTCGAGAAGCGAGACCCATTGCAGCGGCCCAAGGACAACCCCGCAGAGGGAAGAGTACCGAGGCAAGAGCTGAACCGAGTCACACAGTTCCCCGCCAATCAACACGAGGGCATCGGCCTCCCACATTTCTGAAGGACTATGTAACCACTATTCATCAAGGACGATAGCAAGAACTTTGAGGGGAGGGGTGTTGTGTTCTTTTGTATTCCCCCCCTTAATCCCCTATGCGCATCCTGATCACCCATTAAGGGTGATTGCCCTTCTCCATCTGCATACAGTTTCATGCCCGTTGCTGGTTGGCTAACTCGCAATGGGGTCTTACCAGCCAATGGAATTGTGTGATTACGAGCCAGGGGAATCCCATAAAAGAGGGCTCCCCTGGCCCAGATGGCAGTCCGGATTTACTTTATGCCTTGCCAATAAACCGAGAGCTGACTGTCACTCGACTCGTATCTTACTGCCTGCGCGATCTAACACAGACTAGTATTGAGGTGTGTGAATTTGCAAGGGGCGTAAGTTCCAGATCACAGTGTGTGCCTGTGTACACATTGGTGTGTTTGGGTCTCATACTGTCTCCCTTGATGGAGAAATCCAAAGCAGACCTAGAAATAACTGGAGACCCTGAGGGTGAATCCAATCAAGATCTTCTGCCTGAGGAACCTGCTACTCGCCCTACCTGGGGATCAAAGGCTCAGTATATCCTTGCCCAGGCTGGCTTTTCTGTTGGACTCGGCAATGTCTGGCGTTTCCCCTACCTGTGTCATCAAAATGGTGGAGGTGAGTTGACTTGGGCAGTTCTGCCAAATTTGGGACTTGGATTCTACTGCAAGATTCTCCCCCTTTTTTCTAAGAAATTATGGCTTCTCACATATGACTCTGAAGTAGCAGCTTATAAAGCTGTTTTTATAATTTGTGTATCTTTATCCTTTTACTACTGTATATGCACGTAATATCTAAAACTTAGATACATAGTCCCCTGTAAATGGAAAAGGAATGATTTTCTGAATTGAAGTACACATTTGAGAAATAGCAAATAGACCACTTTAGCAGTTTGGCCGAAAGCAGGCAGGCAACCGAAGTGGTGCATTTATTACAGAATACATTCTCTACCATTTAGATACTTATTTTTCTGGCAGGAGAATTGGAGACTCTGGATTTTCACAATTTTAGTTATCTAGTTTCCCAGGACAAGCTTACAAGGCCACCGCATGCTCACTTTCCAAACAGTATTGTGTGAAGTTGATCCTTTTGACAGTGAAGAAAATTATCTCCCTTTCTAAAGCATTTGGAAACAATATTTTTAAACAATCTCCTTTTGATGGTAACAACAAATCTATCATACATGTGATCCATTTCATCAGGTTTAAAATGGTCCAACACTTTAAGGCAGTGGTCTCCAATTTTTCGGGCTTGGCGGCCTGATGGGGGAGGGAGAGGGGATGGTTCTGTGTGAGCGGCAGGCGCATGCATGCACAGCCCAATGCTCACACAAATGGAGCTTCATATGCAAGTATTGCTTGCGCGACCCAGTTCTGAACAGGCCATGGCCCGGTAGTGGGCTGAGGCCCAGGGATTGGGGACCCGTGCTTTAAGGGGTATAAATGTCTGGTTAAATAATCTTGCCAGGTGCTTAAGAAAAAAAAGTAGCACAGAAAGACAACAGAGACATAAATGCAAGAGACCTTCAGAATGTGATCTATAAACTATATTCGTCTCTTAAGAGAAATGAAGGCCAACAGCATATTTAAAGGAGAAGATCCATTCTTTAGCAATCAAGGCCAAGATTTGGGGTTTGCTTAACCTGCTTACAGCCAGTTTGGTGTAGTGATTAAGACACTAACCTAGAAACCAGGAGACCCTGAGTTCTAGTCCCACTTTAGGCACAAAGCCAGCTGGGTGACTTGGGCCATTCACTCTCTGTCAACCCTAGGAAGAAATCAGTGGCAAAAAATCTTACCAAGAAAATTGCAGGGATTTGTCCAGGCAGTCACCAGGAGTCAAAAACTGACTTAAAAGGACACATACAAAAAACCAAAAACCTCTGCTAGTTTACTGGCATATCGTCTTTCCCCTTAGTTCAGCCTGATTCAGGAGACTGTCATTTGTGAAATAATTGCCATAATGACTGGAATCCCTAAAATATTGCCTTTTGCTGGACAGGTTCTTTTCTGCTGCTATACCTGCTCCTCCTCGTCGTCATTGGGATCCCTCTCTTCTTCCTGGAGCTGGCAGCCGGGCAGATTATCCGACAGGGCAGCATTGGCGTCTGGAAGCACATCAGCCCCCGCCAAGTAGACATCGGCTTTGCAAGCTGTGTGGTGAGTGCCGTGTCACTGTTCTTCTGAGTCTGATATTTATTTATATGTCTTGAAAAAAAAAGAGGGGGGAAGCCCTTCAGAATAAACCAACCTGTCAGAAAAATATTAATTGGTTAATCTTTCTAGTAATCAAAAGGAACTTTTGATTCTTTCAACCTATTTATTTATTTATGAAATTTGTTTGCTGCCCATCTTGCCAGCTTACAGCCTATATGTCTTCCCTAACCTATGACCCGTTTTTTTGTTACCTCCTGGGAGGTGGCTTCGTAGCATGCGAAGTAGAACAACTAGATTCCCTAATAGCTTTATACCATAAAGTATTAATCTTGTTAACTCTCAAGACTCTTTTTTTCTGCTAACGTATTCTAAATGTATTCTATATATGTGTTTGGGGGGATGTATGTATATATATATGTGTGTGTATGTATATATATATATATATATAGCATATGCGTATGTATGTGCATATGTGTACTTTATATATGTGTATATGTGTGTGTGTGTACATACATACATACATACATACTTTTGAGATCAGACATCAGAATTTCATTTTTTAATGTGCCAGTGTGTTCATAGAAAAAAGTGACAATAAAGGTTATCTTATCTATTGCGTGGAAATGTTTACCCTCTGCTACCTACAAGCATACTCTTATGGTCTAAACAAGAGACTACAAATAGTTCTCGACTTACAACCGGTTGCTTTGCAACAGTTCAAAATTACAGTGGCCACTCAACCTAGTTCTGAAGTTCCAATAGCCAGGAAGGCTCCCCGTGGTCATTTAAACACATTTTGGGTGTGCTCAGCAGTAAGCCTGCATTTAGAGCCATTTGCAGTGTCCCACGATCACACGACCACAATTTGCAAAGGTTTTTTTGCTGAAATCTGACATTTATTTCCAGATTCTAGCAAAAAACAACCCATAGCAAACAATGGGCTTGCTTTGCAACCGCTGCGTCTTCAAATATTTTCAGATTGTGATTGTTTGTAATGTGACAGAAGGGAAAGAACGTATGACTGGTGAACTCTTTTATTAAAAATATTTAATTTGAATTAATGAAAACATAGATGAAATCAAACCTAATTTAGTTTTTATTTTGGACTACTCCCTACAGTTTGGAGTGTAATCCTCAACCTGGAAAAGCTTAGAATGGCCATTCCCTCAGTCTGAAAAAAAGTTGCACGTCTCTGTTTTGGAGAAAAGGTACATTTCAGAAGAAGTTTAGCATGTTCTAAACACATTTCTATTCAAACGTTTTTGACATCATCTGTAGTTTGTAGGCAAATGGTTCCTCTTCATCAAAGCAATTGTATCCATGTCCAGGGACAATATGGAACACTGATTCATTTTGCTTTCCTTTTAGGTGTGTTCTTTTGTTGCCCTATATTATAATGTCATTATGGCATGGAGTCTTTTCTACTTGGGTAATTCTTTCCAGTTTCCCCTTCCGTGGAGTGATTGCCCAGGAGCAGAAAATGAAACAGGTGCAGGTAAGTCGGAACACAGGAAAAAATAGGCATTTGTGGCTTTTTTGGGTTTTGTGGCATCTCTGTATCACAGAATTATGCTGCTTTTAACAAGGATTCCTGCACACAGTTCCCAGTTCCCAACCCTGAACTGTGTGGTGGAGCAATGGTTTAACCAGCTCTTTTCCTCCCAACTTATGGCAAGTTTCAACTTCTCCTAAGGCTCTTTAAAATACTGATATCAAACTATCAGGAGTTGGTTGAGTAGTAGATAAATCCCAACTATGGTTTGACCATTATAGGTTGACTGTAACTCAGATGTGTCTAGTCCATTGGCCACTTGTGGCCCTGGACAGCTAGTAATGCATTCCCACAAGATTGTAAAATGTTAACATTATTATGTGATTTATATACATTAACTATATTACATACTTTATATGCGGCCTAAGACAATTTCTCTTTATTCAGTGTGTGGAGCTAAAAGGTTGGACACCGTGCTTTAGCTCTGATAGAAGTAAGTCTTCATCCTGGTTCATCCAAGCCGGGAATAAATAAGCAAACATGGCGACTGCTTTGGGAAGAAGGTTACAGTTTATTGCAGAAGAAAGATGGTCCTTGCAAGAAGAAGCAGAGGAGAAGAAAGAGAGTGAGCACATGGGTAGAAGGTTTTTTATACCCCCTCTAGCCCTGTTTGGAATAGTTTCCTGTTCCTGTGGCATGAACTTTGAGGATATTTCTGAGTGTTTTTCTAGGCCTTGATATCTGTGGTTTAATCCTATTATCATATCCTGCTTCCCAGGTGATGGGGCTAATGACTCCTAGAGT